CCTACAGTTTGTTTCATTTGTCTAGGTACAACTCTACCATACATCACTGCTTCGAAAGGAAGACAAAAAGCGCTGCAAATATGGTGAACGGATTAGCAAGCAACACAGAAATGGATGATAACAGCAACTGTGACGCCACAGTGGTATTACTAAAGAAAGGTAACTGTTCCAGTAAGTCACCCTACTTGCTTGCCTCATTCTGAATATTTTACAAGTTTGGCCGGTAGTCACGCGGTACGGGCTGGCTATGTCTTATCAGCAATGAATAGGAAGAGCAGTGGCCCTTTTGCAAGTTGCTGTGGCAGCAGTAGGAGGCCGGTGGCTCCAAGGGACGCAGAGGGGGGCCTGGGTGACAGCTGTCCCCTTCTTGCTGACAGGGGCAGCTCAGCTGCGAGGAAAGTGCCTGCCTGAACAGATTCTTTCAGCTTCAGGCCTGATGTGTCCGGGAGCTATTTTTTTAGACCATTGTATCCCCACCAGCCTAAGTCCTCCCGTGGACACATCTAGGTGCCCATCTGCATCTAGTACCTCCAGCTAAATTTGATGCATTTCCAAAGCGACGTAAACTGAACAGAGAAAAAAGCCATACTTAAGCCAGGGTACGTGTCCCCAAGGGGGCGGGAGGGGACTCTGCCCTGATGTAGATGGTGTGCTTTTACTTCACATACACTTGTGCTTTACTTCGTCTTGCATATGCCTAACTTTTCCATGTAAATGATCTCTAAGTCGATGTTTTCACTTTGGCCAAAATCCTCTGATTTAAATCATGATCATTTGATTTAAATCATGATCACATATATAACTGATTACATTTCCTCAGCATAAAAAAACCACCCACTCCATAGCTCAGCTGCAGTAGCTGCGTGTGTGTCTTTGCAAACACATGCTAAACTGTATTCACAGAGGCTAACGTATCATACTTTATCTTTGCAGCAGGCGACAAGCACGTGCAGTAATTCCTGGGGTTATATGCCCCTATCCTCAGCAATAACAGCCCCAACTCCCCTGGCCAAAAAAGTCACTGGTTTAACTCGGCAAGGAGCTATGTTGCGTCTAAAGCGGTCCCAGGCTTTGGGTACAGATGAGCTGCCACTTTTGTTACGCTGGAACTCAAAAAAACTAACAAAAATCGGTCTCTCTTTTCCCACAAAGAGCTGTGAAAAGACATAGTCCATATGCAGTAAGTAACTTCCTATGAAGCGCAGATGGGACTTTTTATTGACATTAAGCCCTCTGGTGAGTCTGCCAGGTGCCAGCTATCATGTTAATGCTGGATGGGTGACTAGAGGGAAGGCTTTTGTGAGCGCAGCGTGCTCTGGTTTGGGGGAAGCTCCTTTTACTGGAAGAGCCCTCTGGAGCCTGGGGCTCTTAACGCTAAAACTGTGCTGGCAGGAAAACTACGCTCGTTACCAGTAGCATTAAACTGGTAAAAATGAAGCACAGGCTCAGGCCTTAGTCATTCAGGTCTATCCGGTGACCTCAGGATTGCGCACACATGGGGCAGTTTTGATTGTGGGATGTAGTTTAAACATCCTCAGATGTTTGAACATCCTCAGAGTGCCTCCTTGCATGACGCTACTCAGCCGTAGGTAAATTTTTGTTTTTGTTGTCTGAACATTTGCAGTTCCTCAGACTGGCTGCGGAAAGAGAGACCAAGGGATTGCTTCATTTTCTTGCGTATTGTTCCTGTATTGCTTTGGCAGTGGGCCACCTGTGGCTCTGGAAGGCAAACAGCACTGCTGTGCACACCAGCCAGCAGCCCAGGGTAGCAAACAGCCCCCCTTTCAGCAAGTTGGCCTGCCTGAGGGTTTCAGACACCACCGTTTGCTTTCTGAGCTGGCACTTTTCTGAATAGAGGACCAAAAAGAATCAAAGTGCTTGTGCATTTGGGACTCTGTAAAATATATGTGTACATTTTTGCTATTGCTATTTCCTGGCCTCTGTCAGGAAAGAGCGAGCCATGGCTGTCCTGCTGGTGGAGCGGAGAATGCAAGAGCTGCAAGATTTGGTAACGTTCCTGGTAGCAACAGGGTGCTTGCAGTTCCCCAGAGTGCCACACATGACCTGCCAGCCCAAAAAAAGTCACAAGGAAAAGCTATCTGGCCATTTTTACTTTTATGACTTGGAAAGACCCCACATATTTACCCCTACTCTGTGGAAACCTTCCTAGCTAGAAAAAATTGGTATGAAGGCTGAGGAGATACTCTTCTGTAAGACTACTGATATGGCAGTAAATAGCAACACCATGAAACATTGCTAGTACTCAGCAGTGATTTTAATTGTAAGCTTGTAATAAAAAACACAGCTATGTTAGGGAAGATCTCAGGTTTCCCTGCTGCTCAGCCTCAGTTGTGGCTCATAACTTACAATCCTACATAGCATCCAAGCGCAGAAAAAATCCTGGGCTTGTCCCACAGGGCTGGTAAACACTAATATTTGTGCTCACTAGGTTGAGGCTTTGACCTTATATACCTATGCCCCAGCTAGAGCATGTTTTAACTATCTGCCCTGTGTGTCCTTTCTCCTTTGCTGCCTCCTGGCGGGTCGCTCCCAGTGGCCCAGCAGGCATGCTTGCCACCAGATCTGGTGGCAGTTCTAGCAATGACCTGAGATCCCAGAGTACAGGAACCTCCTTTTCATTTGCTCTGATACTTTACAGGAACGCGGTGATAATTGCCTCACCCAGTGTACAGTTAATGGTGGGTGAGGTCAATATCCTCATACAAGTGCAGGTGACATCAGTGGAATTAATGCAGCTTTGCATTAATTTCCCATTTCCACCTTAGGGGAACAACTGTTGGTGGAAGCAATGATCCGCTTAATACAGGCCTTTGATGAAGTGTGGAGAGTAGATTTAATTTTGTAATAATGAGCATGAATGGAGGCACCGTATTGGTGATTTATTTTAAAAAGAAATGCCACCTAAAGATAGAAAGTAAGAGCAGAGGAGGCATATTTTGAATGATAGTAGCTGAAGGAATGGTTTTTACATGGGGCCTCTGGAATGCACGGGTTTATTCTTCAGAGAACCACGCAGAACAGAGCAAGCGGCTGGCAGAAGAAGGCCTCAGTTTCTCTTTGTTCCTTGGCTGCAGGGAATTTCCACCGCAAAGCCTCGGTGATCATGGTGGATGAGCTGCTGTCTGCCTACCCACATCAGCTTTCATTTTCTGAGGCTGGGCTCCGAATCATGATAACCAGCCACTTTCCTCCCAAAACTCGTCTCTCTATGGCCAGTCGCATGTTGATCAATGAGGTATGTGTTACCCTTTTTTTTTTCTTTCTCTCTCTCTCTCTCTCCCTTTCCTTCTGAATTTGTCTCTTCCTACAGCAGCGTTCAGGTTGCAATGGAAGTTGGTGGCTTTTCAGGATCCCTGATGGCATTTTCCCAGGTTTTATCCTTCTGACAAGGACTCTACTAAATCATCCACTGATAGCTGTTCCCACAGAGATTTTAGTAAAGAAATCTCTAAGTTGACCAGGTTATGCTACCTGCAGCTGTCACTTGCAATGGGTACCCCCAGCGTTGGTCTGATGTTAAGATCACTTGCATTTATTTTGTAGCCTGATATTCCGTTAAGTCTGCATTTAGTCTGCCCCCTGATCTTGGAATACCCCTGTAGTTAAAGCTATGGTTCTTGGTACTGCTCATACAAAAGTTTTATCTGTGTGAGATTTGTATAGAGTCATCTGCAAGCAAGCACTGCATTATCCATGGTCAAAAATCTATCCCTTTTGCTTTTAAAACCAAGTTTTTAAAGAGCTCTGTGCATGTCTGTCTGTCTGTCTGTCTCTCTCTCTCTCTCTCTCTCTTCTTCCCCATCTCTTTAAAAAAGAAATCTACCTTTCAGCAAGAATTTGTACCTGTGTTTACAGAGACAAAGGCTGATCAACAGCAGGGCTTACACCAATGGTGAGTCAGAAGTAGCAATCAAAATACCTATCAAGCATGTTGTTGAGAACGGAACAGGCCCAAGCAACTCCTCCGAGCGGGGTGTGAATGGCACACGGCGAGACGAAGACATGGCTGAGGCCGGGAATGAGACAGAGAACGAGAATGAGGATAATGAGAACAACGAAAACGATGAGGAAGAGGAAGAAGGAGATGATGATGATGACCATGAAGGGCCATACACACCTTTTGACCTACCCAGTAAGAAGCTCCTGGGTTTGTGTTGTTCCAGAAAGCAAAACTCAGTTTGGGTATGCCATGAGCATCACAGATGTGTGTTGGGGTAGAAGTGTCTCTGTGAGAGCTCCTATCACTCTGTACCTCCCAGTTTAGTTCCTGGTCACAGGTAAAAGATGGCAGGAACTGAGTGGAAAGCATCAGAAACCTCTCAGGATACAGACCTCTGGACTTGGGTTCACCTCAGCCATAGTCTCTGAGGCTCCTGTGTTGGCCCCACAGTCACCTTGGGCCACTGTTGCAGCCAGCGGGGAGCAGCAGCTACCTCCACCAGGTCATTTCTGCCCCAGAAACCTGGTTGACCCTTTGGAGAGGTCCATCTCTCTCTGCTGACTACGGAGGGAACTGAAGATGGTGGGGCCATGGGAAGGTGCCTGAACGTAGCTCAGATGCATCTGGGTTTAGGCCTTATCTTCACTGGGAAGTGAGCTTCACTCTTATCTCAGTGATATTTAATACAAGGTGTGGTCCCAGTAGAGATGAGGCAGTGACAGTGCTGATGTGCAGTGGCAGATTAAAGAAGGTCCTGGGCTCCTCTGTGTCACTCTGTTAACTAGGCTTCTCGCAGGGGCTTCTCACTGCTTCTGGAAGGCTGAGAAGCAGCCAGAATAGCTACATGACTTGTGAAAAAACATACGTGGCTTGGGTTGCTGAGCCCTGGGCCTGCGGGACGGATCTCTCCTTTTCACCCACTCCTTTTTACACCATCAGGACCTTAGCCTCGGGGTGAATATAACATATTCCTGCTCTGCCTTTGAATCACACTTACCAGAGCGGGCAAAATCCAGTTGTTGCAGGCAAGACAGAATACTGCAGGGACCGTTTCTGCTCCTTATGGGTGGGATATTTTGGGGCAAACTCCTGTTCAGATCTCCTCATTCAAACAGCATAGCTGTAGTTCAAGTAAGGAGAAGAACCTGAGCTCCGAAGAGAGTTATTTAGATGCCCTCTGGACCATAGCGCTAGATTCATACTATGGGAAAGATTGGCATGGATCTCTGGAGGTCTCTGATCCAAACCCCTGCTCAAAGCAGATCCAGCTAAGGCATGTTGCTCAAGACTACATCCAGTTGAGTTTTGATTATCTCCAAGGATGCTGCTCCCACAGTCTGCCTGGGTCCCTGTTCCAGTGTTTGACCACCCTTGTGGTAGGAAAGAAAGGAAAACCCACAACTGTAGTACTTAATCAGAATTTCCCTTGTTGCAAGTTGAGTTCATTGGCTCTTATAATTTCCTTGTGCACCTGCAAGAAGTGCCTGGCTCTGTCTTTTTTTTTAAACCCTCCCATTAGGTAGTTGAAGATGGGTCAGGTCTCTTCCTAGAACTTGCTTCTTATTTAATTCCTCCAGAATTTGACCCAGGGAAGATATCAAGTGTGGACTGACCTATTGCTTGTGAAGCTCACTGGGATTTCCTGGGAAGGCACTTCATGTTCCCTCGGTGTGCTCTCTCTCCCCACCATCTCCCCTCTTGGCTCTCACACTGTGCTCTTCTGAACAAGAAGTGTCTTGTCATTAGCCATTTGCATAGCGCTTAGGCTGAGGAGGCCCTGGCCTCTTGCTCATTCAAATTAAAAAAATACTACCATGCCAGACTAAAGCAGGCTAGAATTATGATTTTTTTTCCCTTTTTTATATTGCAGATGGCAAGACTGAAATCTTGAAGTGGCTCTTTACGTGGCCGTTGAGTTTTGTCCTGTACTTCACAGTGCCCAACTGTAACAAACCCCACTTGGAAAAATGGTTCATGGTTACCTTTGCTTCTTCTACCCTCTGGATTGCAGCTTTCTCTTACATGATGGTGTGGATGGTATGTACCAGCTAGAGCCTGGGACCACAGCCTGGGAAAGGCAACAGAAATGATTTGTCAGCTTCAGTGAAATGTATAGAGAGCCCTGCATACATGAACTTTTAAAGGAGAAACCTTAAGGCTGCGTTCATTTCTGTTAGACCTGTCAACAATGAGCGAACAAAATCTCGGCCTTCACTTGATGCGGGGTTGGGATTTCATGCAGATTCTTTAAGCTGGGAATAAATCCCACTTGCACCAGTTTAACACCTCTTTACCCTGCAGGGTCAATGTAAAGAGGCCCTGGTGCTGGTACAAATCTGGCCTCAGCTGCTTTTCCTCTCCTTGGAGCGATCAAGTTTGAGAGCCAGGGCTGTGAATGATGCACCTCAAACCCAGCGCGAGCAAAAGCGTGACATTCAGCCACACTGCTGCACAACTACCTAGTCAACAGGAACTTAATCTGATTCTAGCTCATTGTCCTAAAGGTAGAAGGGGATAAGGAAAAATGAACACAAAGAAATCTAAGCGTAATTGGCCTGTTCACTGGGAAGAAGAGCTTTGTGCGCTGACTGGGTCATTGAGCCTGTAAGCTTGCTGCAGGCTTCATGCATGATACGTGTTGGTGGTGTTGATGATACGTGTAGCTGAAAAGTTTTAAGTTTTCAGTAACTTAAAGTTACTGATTTATGGGAGTATTGCAGGAAGGATTATGTTTCTTTTGGGGAAGTCTAGACTCTTAAGCAGAATCAAACAGCGATGGGGTGTTGGCATCAGGAGAGAGTGAAGAAAGGGAAGCATGGATCTAGGTCTCAGCAAGGGAGCAGGCAAGCACAGAGGTAGCTCACTAAAGCTAAACTACTGGCCACTATTTCCCCTCTGGGAAGGGGAAGCAATTCCAAAAAATTTCCACTGCCTTCACAATGCACTCCTATACTAACTAAATGCAAAAAATGTATGCCAGGGTTTTCCCTGGGAACTAAACAAACCAGTTACAGAAGAGGGTTTTTTCTTTTTTTTTTTCAATAACCTTTGTTATCCTGAACAAGAAATGAAAAGTTACTTGCTTTCTCCTGCTTTTCATCTGGGAGGATGAGGTGTTTTCAAGGAAAAGCTCTCCCAGCTTTCCATAGATGAAATACCAGAGTCCACAGGGTCACTGCGTTACTTGCAACATATGGTTCACGTTTCTTGGAGTATGCTGCAGAGAGTTCAGAATAGCATATATTATCCTGGACTGAGCTTTTCACTTTGCTCTGTGCAATTAAACATGGCTAATAGGAAATCTGGCATCATTAAATGAAGGCCTCCAAAATTTCAAAAAGCAGATCAGTTCAAAGAGCGCTAATTTATCATAAACTGCATAGCAGAGAAACAAGGAATTAAAGGAATCTCCTATCTGCTAAGAGGAAGTGCTCGCAGTATCTTGGGGATATGTCCCTGCATATAATATATTCATAATATAATAAACTTTGGGGTTGTTTTGGTGTCTGTTCAGCTATTACTTGTATGTGGCAATGCCTAGGAGCTTCAGTCGACGTGAGGAGCCTATTACACCCAGTAGCTGGCCCCCATAGAGCCTCTTTTCCAGGTTAATGTCTGGAAAATTGTGGATGAAAGATGTAAAGCAGCTTACCAAAAAGAGTACATAGCAGGTCAGTACTATCCTCTGCCAAGTGATGAATGTACCAATAAAGCCTGTTACTGCTTCTCTTTAAAAAAAAAAAAGAAAAGTCAGGTTTGGACTGAGATAAATCTTCCAGTATTGGCGCAAGCTGATCTGTAATTTTGCTTCTTGCAAACACCCTGACAGTTTAATTCATCTCTGTAGGTTACAATCATTGGCTACACACTGGGTATTCCAGATGTGATCATGGGCATCACTTTCTTGGCAGCTGGAACCAGCGTGCCAGACTGCATGGCCAGCCTTATCGTAGCAAGGCAAGGTAGGTTCTTCACACAGATGGCACAATTGCCACCGAAGTGTTTTCTGGGTGTCCTCTTCCTCTTTAGGCAGCACAGAGGAGCCCCGAATGCAAAGACCATCAGAGCCCTGTTCCTGAAGCTGAAATTTAAAACAAGCACAAGAAAAGAGAATTATGTTGCTATTGCAAAGCAGTTTCTTAATGACAGTGTGGCAACAAGTTTTGGCACCACTGCCAACTCCAAACCTTCCCAAAAAATTCACAAGTTTTGTTTTGTTTTTTTTTTTTAATATCAGCTTTCTAGACTTGTGTAGAACATGATGTAAGCGTCTTTCAGCTCACTTTCCAGCTTTTCCCTGCAGTTGCAAGGACTGGAAAACACTTTTTTTTTTCCAGGAATTTTTTTTTCTTATGACTCCAGGAACAGGTGCTCTAAGAGAAAAAGAAAATTGGGAACGCTGCTCTGGGGAATTAAGAAGGTAGTTCTTCCTGAAATAGCCAGCTACTTAACCATGTCTGCCAAACTAGAGTAACTACAGACCAATTTAATCAGTCTAATACAGAAACTCATGTCTCATGATTGCATTAAAGCACCAAATGCCACAGTGAGTGTGGTACAGAGGGAGAGCCAGCAGGTCCCAGCCAGCAGAGCCAGTGGCCAGGGTCCCACAGCAGCTGAGGCTTAGTTGAGGGAAAGTCTCATGATCCTAGAAAGTGGATCCAGCCCCTCCAACCATGTCGGCCTATATGATGGGAAGAGGGAAGGGGAAAAGGAAGGGACTTAACTCTGTGCCTTTATCCATGGAAATCATCTAGATTCATTCAGGTTAGCGTATTATCATGTCTGATTGTCCTTGGTTTCTGTTCCTGCAGGTATGGGGGATATGGCTGTGTCCAACTCCATCGGAAGCAACGTTTTTGATATTTTAATTGGCCTAGGCCTCCCGTGGGCTTTGCAGACCCTGGCAGTGAATTATGGTTCATACGTAAGTCCTGTGTTTGGTTGCATGATTTTTTTTTTAATACAGGCTTTATATAAACCGGTTAGATCTGTCAAAAAAAAAAAAATTGTGGATTGAATTGGAGGAAGCAAATAGTGTCACCCTCTTTGAGGGAAGTAGCATTTAATTCTCAATAGACAGTCCCCAGGCTTTGGAGTACAAGTACATCCATTTCCTCCTTAAAGGCAGGGCGCGTGCTTCAGTCTGCACTGAAATAAGCTAACTCACTGAATATACTGCATATTGATGCACTGGAATATATTCCTAATAACGAGAATGATCCTATTTTTAATGAGACAAAGGGGTAGAGCACACAGGTGGAAAGTAAAGGGTCTGAGCAAACCTGCAGAATTTTTGGTACGGAAAAGTCTAGGGTTACTAAATTGTTAACATACTGGAAAATGAAGGAAGCTGTTAAATAGCAAGGATGTTTCAGAGCATGACCATCGTCAGGAAACATGGCAGAGCCTTCTGCTTTGAGAAAACCTGCCCAGCACCAATGACACCTCTCTTTAGTTCCCAAATGCTAAAACAAAAACCCTCCAAAGCTGGGGAAAGCTTCGTTCTGCGAGGGAAGAGCAGGAGATGCTATGAAATCCCATGGGGAAGTGAGTGTTACTATTGCCATTAGCTGGACAATGCTCAGACATCAGCGTAGGATAGAGGAGAGATTCTTGATGACAATCACTAAGTGATTGCAAATCTACAGGCTACAGAATCGTGGAGTTATAGAATATCTGAGGTTGGCAGGGACCTCTGGAGACCATCTGGTCCAACTCCCCTCTGCTCAAAGCAGGGCCTACTACAGCAGGTTGCCCAGGACTGTGTCCAGTTGGGTTCCGAATATCTCCAGGGATGGAGACTCCACAACCTGTGCCAGCGTCAACCACCTTCACAGTGAAAAAGGGTTCTTACGTTTAAAAGGAATCTCCTCTATTTCAATGTGTGGCCCTTGCCTCTTGTCCTGTCACTGGATGCCACTGAGAAGAGCCTAGCTCCATCTTCCTTACTCCTGCCCATCAAGTATTCATGCACATTAGTAAGATCCCCCGAGCCTTCCCTTCTCCAGGCTGAACAATCCCAACTCTCCCTGCCTCTCCTAGTACGTCAGGTGCTCCAATCCCTTGATCATCCTTGCGGCCCTTTGCAGGACTCTCTCCAGTATGTCCATGTTTCTCTTGTGCTGGGGAGCCTAGCACTGGACACAGCACTCCAGATGCGGCCTCACCAGGGCTGAGTAGAGGGAGATCACCTCCCTCAACCTGCTGGCAATGCTCTACCTAGTGCAGCCCAGGACACTGCTGGTGTTCCTTGCTGCAAGGGCTCACTGCAGGCTCATATTTAACTTGTTGTCCACCAGGTCCCCTGGTCTTTATCTGCCAAGCTGCTTTCCAGCTGGTTGGCCCCCAGTGTATATTTTGCATGGGGGCTTTTCTCCCCATGGGCAGGACTTTGTATTTCCCTTTGTTGAACTTCTTGAGGTTCCTCTCTGCCCATCTCTCCTGCCTGTCAAGTCCCTTTGAATGACAGCACAAACATCTGGCATATCAGCCATTCCTCCCAGTTGTGTATCAGCTGCAAACTTGCTGAGGGTGCAATGCCCACATGGAAAAGCAGCAGGTGGTAAAAGTCTGAGGGCTGGATAAGCTCTGTCAGTCTTTCTACAACATCCTGAATCCAGTCCCCTGGCAAGCAGCAACCCTCACAAAACAGCATCTCCCACTACTGACGCTTGCCACTTTCTCCTGGTGCTGCTGCGGGGCTAAGATTGAGCCCGGGCGGATGCATCATTGGCCAGAGCTCCCAGCCACGCATCTGCTCCAGGGCACTGAATCTGTTCCATAGCTGCAATCCTTGAGGTGGAGCAGGAGCCGTTCTCCTGGTGCCAGAAGTCACCAGCTTCCAGCCTTCACCATCCAGGGAGTCTCCATCTCTCAATCAGATACACACAGACTCTGCCTTCCCCTCCTTCAGTACAGCTGGGGGTTTCAGGCTCTTCTAGTGGCTGGGCCTCGGAGAAGATCCGGTTGACATCTTTCTCATCATCTCTGATGCTGCGCGATCTGCAAACCTCCCCACACGGTGCCTTAACTTAACGACATAGGTCCTCAGTGAGTACATGTTTCCAGCAGTCTGCAAGGCCATCTCCTGCTGCCCCAGCCGCCGCAAGAGGCCCTAGGCATCCCTGCAGCCCCAGACCAGCAGCGCCGCATCCTCCTGCCTCCTGGAGCTCCACCTGGGTCGAGACCTTCAGTGTTATGGGGACGCTTGCCCCCCAACAGCTGCTGGGGACTGTGCCCCGT